CCTGCTGAGGGAAAAGCCTTCCCTAGGGAGAGTCTGGTGGGAGGTGGCAGAGGAGGGTGTGACAGAAAACAAGAGGTGGGGAAATGAAATGGGGTAGACCCAGAAAGAAAAAAAAAAACAAAAAAAAACTGGGAATTTGAGAGGGGGAAGGTCAACAGGACTTTTTTTCAGTTCTAGAGTCATCTGAGTTGATGCTGTCTTAGGCACAACTGGTGGAAGGGTGCCCAGTGGAAGTCAAGGCCCCAGGCTTGCAGACACAGGGGCTCACCTGGAGATGGCTCTGATGCAGCAGCGAGACATGTTGAGGAAGGAGCTGGCACTGGCCCTTGTGTGTAAGGCTGACTCAATCCCCCTTAGTAAATCATTAGTCTTGAGCAGCAGCAGCATTTGGCGAGGGACATTGTTGAGGAGCTGGGTGATCTGAGGTAGGTAAGCAGCAGCATTGGTCCGAATTTCCACATCCTGTGCACAATTGGATCAGAGGAGTGCCCGGGAGAGAGGAGAGAGAGGTTAACAGAGCTCTGGAAGCCCATGCGCTGCTACTTCTGAGGGCAGGTAGTGAAACGCAGTAACAGGAGATCACCCCAGGTTACTAAAAGCCAAAGAGCTCCTCACAGCAGAGGCCAGACTGTACCATGCACATGAGGCAATGGTAATCTGGATGAGCAGAGAGGAGCCAAATGCACACATATGAATCCCCATGGAGCCTGTTCTGACCTGCTCTGCACCCATACTCACTTGCTACCTCCAACAACTTCTGAGCCAACAGCTGAGAACTGCTCTGGGGCCAGCCGGACCAGAGGTCCCAGCAGTACCCCTTCCTTGCTCCTTTCCAACATCATGGAGAAGACAGCCCATGGCTGGCACTCAAAACCAGCTCTTTTGTGTACTAGCATAATACTGGCCCTTTAAGAAGCTGAGCTAATAGGTAATGGTGTGAACTGTGAAGTCTCTTCTAAGCAGCTGCTGACAGACTAAAACAACTGGACTCTGAGCAGCCTTTCTGCCCTCTGTCCTCCCACCACTCCGTGGCAAACCAGACAAAGCACCCCCAAAGCTTCTCTCAAGCTGTCCTGAAAGCCCATGTTCATCTATCACTCTGTCCTACCACCTGCACCTTAGTGTGATCAGGAGACTTCTCCACATGCAGAAGGTAGCCTTTCAGAGTCACAGGGCACTTAGTATCATTGGAGAAATCTTTCTTCCTCCAGAGCATCCAGCAGCCTCTCCAATATACCGCAGCTCTTGTAGCCTTCAGCCTGAGCCTCACCAAGTAAAGTGAGGGAGTCCTGCAGACACAGTCGACTGCCACAGGTGTGTGCAATAGCAGCGGGCATAGTATATCTGGATAGAGGCATGTAGCAGGGTCTCTGTCCCCTGCCTGCCTTCTTTCTCCTGGTTCTTGCTAGAGCTGTTAGTGCTGCTCAACAGGAATCCCTGTGAATCTAGGACAGTGCAACGGATCATTGCACACACACAAAGCTGTTCCTGCATCCCCCCACAGCAGCTGTGGCTTGAACCAGAAAATCCAGAAAAAGGTCACTGGAGCATTTGAAGGGTTCAGAACCCAGCAGGCTGCATGCACAATGCAGCTGAGACAGCTTCTTGTGCAGGAAGAGGGCTAGTATTTGTGGAGGATGAGAAGGGACAGCTATAAAAACATTTCTCCAGTTCAGAGGTGGTGACCAGAGCTGCCCACTTCTCTATGCTGGCCCTGAGACCCTTCTAGTGGGAACATGAGATTCTGCATCTGGGAACAGACCAAGGGTCCAAATAAGTCTGGTGTCCACTTCTACCAGATCATACCAATAGTCCATGTCATCTCAGTCTCTCTTCTGCTTCTCTGGTTATAACAATTTGAGAAAGCTGGGTTGACACCTTTAACTAACTAAAACTTAACTCACTTGAAAAGATATATATATAGAGAAAGAGAGAGCGAGCACAGGCTTTCCTATCTAATCTGGTGCCTTATCTTCAACAGTGGCCAAAAGCAAGTTCTCAAAACCCTTCACTGCATGCCAGTGTTTAACAATGCCTCACGAGGGAAATTCCTCCGTGAACCTAACTTACATTCTGATATGAGGGACCCTTATCATTCTGTCATAACTCACATCACCACAAAGGCTATGCCACTTTCAATACATGCTTAATCCTTTTCACTCCATTCTTCTTGAACTTCTAGCTGTGTGTAAAGCCTATTTGTCCACATGACATCATCTGTCATCTTAACTGGCATTTTATGCCAAGGATAAAAGTAGGAATACCAGACCATGCCAAAGGGACATCTGACAGGTGCCAATGGAGCTTTGGAGGGCCACAATATTGGAATAGCAGAAGCTGTTGCAATACAGGGTTTAAAAATAACCTCAGAGTTGTGTGCTTCATGACACCTCTCTACAATGTTGCCTGGTTCTTGCTGCTGCCTTTAAATTCTCTGTTTCATTCCAAAACCTACAAAAAGAAGTTGCCTTCCTATTATACAGAAACTTGCTTTCTGGTGTCCTAAGGGCATGTCTGACCCACCAGAGCAAACCTTAATTCCGACCTTGAAAATCCTGCACACAACAATGAATTTCCATCACATCATTTCATAACACACAATTCCAGCCCTTCATTTTAGATTCCTACCTACATGTTACAGAGAAATATTGCAGAGGGATTCCAGGCTCCCTCAAATGCAGACCTATGTGCAGCCTTCATATGGACCTGCTAGGGCACTCCCAACACAATCACCAATGCAGGTGATTTTCATGGAAAAAGGCACCAAAGGAATATGGAGCACAAATGGGACACACCTCATTAGCTGTGACTGGGGACCGATCAATGCCCCGGCTGACTGAGGCCCAGGACCTTGCAGTGAGCATGCATGCGAAGAGTGGGTAGAGATCACCTGCCCCTAGGCGCTGGCTGTACTTCTGCACCTGCTTCATATCTGCCTTGATCAGGGACTGCCAGAGTCGGCAATAGTCCAAGCGGAACTTCTCTGTCAGGACCTGGGAAGGGAGGGAGGGAAGGAGAGAGACATTTTCTAAAAGAAATTGATCCACAGCACAGTTGGGAAGGGGGAAAAAAAAAATCTGTCCTGCCCAGCAGCTGCTTTGAGCCACCAAACTTGCTGTCCTGAGCTTGAAGCTGCGAGAAATAAAATTCCATTAAAGCATGGTAGAAGTGAAAGCAGAAATGCATAAGGTGGGTCGACAAGCTGGGGTACCCCTTTCATTCGCCTGGGCTCTAAATGGCCAGATAAAAAAGGAGGCCCCAGGGCACTGTATGGCAATCACTTTGTTCACATACCTGATAGAGCCCATGGTCCAGGAGTATGATGTGGGCCTTGCCAGTGACTGGACATTTCTTCACTAGCACGTTGCCTGGGTGTGGGTCACAGTGTACAAAGCCATTCACAAAGATCATTTCACTGTACAGCTTCCCCAGGTTGCGAGAGAGCTGAAAGAAGACAGAAGTGGGTCAATGGCTTAGAAAGGGCCTGCTAATGACACCACCATTTAAAAAATAGAGGGTAGGGA